CTGGCTTAAAAAGTCTACAGTGAGTCCTGAGTTGGCAATCCCATTAGCCTTTCCCAGTAGGGAGATACATTTACCCAACCAAGAGTCACATCTGCAATTTCACAGCTTGGATATATGTAGTGAACACTTTGTACCTGCTAGGTGTGTTTCCCACTACTTAATAGGTATTGCATCACCAAATCCTCACACCTGTCTTATGAGGTGGATACTCTTATCATGTCCAGTTTACAGATGAGTTAACTAGAAATTAATTGCCCAAGGTCACAGAGCTAGGAAGAGATGATTTCAGGACCCAACGCCAGGCAGTCAGACTCTAGAACCAGTCTCTACCATGACAAAATGGAACAAAAGAAATACCAGCCTTTCATGAAACACACCTGTAGGAATGGTCCACCCAGAGTTGCAGCTATGGAATCGCAATACCACCATTCTGCCTATCACTAAGAGTGAGAAGACAATTTGACTATCATTTCATTAACCCTGTGGGAACTATGGGAATTAGTCCCATAGTTTCATAGAACAAGCGAAGTCCACGAGCCATGGTGCCACCAATCAATGTCAATTTGCTATCTACGTGTGTGTGTTGCAATTGCTCTGATGCAGACATTTCAGTTAGGAAGCTTTGGTCAGAAGGGCAATATCCCCACAAAGTAGCAATTCTCATGGGTTAATGAGAAGCTGTCCATCATCTGTTAGTTTGTTGTACTGTGGTCCAAAAAGGACATGGAGGTGGCATCTTCTGACCCCTCTAACTTCACAAGAGGAAGACAGAATCACCAGCAGCAGTCCAAGGCTTATTCCTATGAGAGCAGACGTGCTGCCACCTCCAGCCTTTTTACTAACTCTGACACCATCCTTCCCTTCCACAGCACTCACTGCTTCTCTGCTGGGTTCGATAATTTTTGCAATAGCCACACACAACTCACAGACAATACTCACAATTATGGGGTTTATTAGGGAAGTAACAGGTTACAACTCAGGTTCAGGACCGTGCTCAGGATACAAATCTTCGATCGGGATAACCTCCCTTCTGCTGTGCCTTCAGGCACACCTCTCTGGCCCTTGGCCTCTCGGTCTTGGCCTCTGCCCTGCTTAGGCAAGTGTTACAAAGCTCTTTTGGCTCTGCCGATAGGTACACCTAGGTGCACCCCATTAGTCAGCAAGCCTCCTGCCCAAGGACACACAGCTTTCTCGCTCTGTGGGCCAGGTAAGCCTGTTGCTCTGTCTCGTGCTTCTTGGTTCCACTGTGACCATCTCTCTGCCGGGTGTCTCTGCCAGGCGTCTCTCTCTGCTGTGCCTCTGCCAAGAAGGTCTGGTGCAGGGATCTCAGGTCCAAGGATGCCCTCTCTGTCTCCAGGAGGGCTCATTTTAAACCTGGCAGAGTGACAAAACTAACCAATCCCAACATCAGAGTTCTACACACCTTATTTGCATGGTCCCACCCAGTAATCCGGTGGGAGTAACAAAGACTATGGCTAGGAAAGCCATACCGAGTAATTCACTGCACCACACGTGGCGGCTTCGTGTTGCTGTGATGCTGGAAGCCACACCAACAGGGTCACCCATGGTGGAGAGATTTCAGCAGAGCCTCCAGACTAAGGCAGACTAGGAAGGCAGGCCTCGTGATCTACTCCCAAAAGCTATCCAATGAAAACCTTATGGATCATAGCAGGATACTGTCTGATACAGGGCTGGAAGGTAAACAGTGACTGCAAGTGGTGCAGGACAGAGCAATGCTTTGTTCTTTTGTACATGGGTCACTGAGTTGGGGCTGATGCAACAGGAACTAACAGTGAAAACCTGTACAACTCTTCTCCTAAAAAGATTTTAAAAATTGAACGTTTTTTTCCCTTCTTCTCAAAGGCCTCCAAAGCTCTCATCTGTGGGAATTTGTGCGAGACTTGCTCCTATCTCCTGAAGAAAACTGCGGCATTTTGGAATGGGAGGATAGGGAACAGGGTATTTTTCGGGTGGTTAAATCAGAAGCCCTGGCCAAGATGTGGGGACAAAGGAAGAAAAATGACAGAATGACATATGAAAAACTGAGCAGAGCTCTGAGGTAAGCTGATAGTATGAAACACCATAAGCCTTCAAGCCGAGTTACGTAAAATGGCTGTCCAGACAAACTGACACTATTTTTGCAGCTTTTTACTTGATAATCGAAAGGTCATGAGACAAAACTTGGGTTCTTAGTTACAGGGAGGATTATAGCTTGTAAATTGACACGCCGCCCTTTTCGTTTTTGGCAGTCTTCCCCAATGCTCACTCTGAACTCAGGCCCTCTCTCTCACACACATACACACACACACACATTTTGAACTGAGTAGGGTGAGGTTCAGTCTTCAAGATGTCTGGGAAAGGTTTAAGCGTAAGCTGATAACAGGGTGTGGAAATACCAGGGTAACCAGAGAATATCCTTGTCACCTGAGAGGAACAGAGCAAGAGTGTGTTTATGGTTCTGTTGTGTTCCTGGCATGCCAACCCTCCCCATGTTTCTCTTCTGCTGTCTTTCAGATACTACTATAAAACAGGAATTTTGGAACGCGTCGACCGAAGGTTAGTGTACAAGTTTGGAAAAAATGCACACGGGTGGCAGGAAGACAAGCAATGACCTGTTGTTCCATGCATCGAGCGTACTGTATGGATTTCTGTCTTTTAAAACAATCAGATTGCAACAGACATTTGAAAGTCCTTTTTCTTTTTTTTTAAACCTGCAAATGTGCTGATAAACTTTCTC